CATTACCCAAACAAAAAAATAATGGAGTAACATAAATTTAAGCTCTTGACACCCACTGATTTTATTTATTCCTTAACCTATACATAGTGCATATGTGTTGAACACAAAGATTTTACCTTTTTAAAATTTTGTTTAAAATGTTAATATCAACAATTTTCAGAACACAGCAGTACAATTATTTGTTTTAACTCTACATAATTAGTTTACCAACATATATTATCAATTTCTGTGATTTTCATTGTATCTTGTATCTTTAGCTTTCAGTCATTTTTTAAAATTTATTTTTTAATTGAAGGATAATTGCTTTACAAAATTTTGCTGTTTTCTGTCAAACCTCAACATGAATCAGCCATAGGTATACATATATCCCCTCCCTTATGAACTTCCCTCCCATCTCCCTTCCCATCCCACCCCTCTAGGTTGATACAGAGCACCTGTTTGAGTTTCCTGAGCCACACAGCAAATTCCTGTTTGCTATCTATTTTGCATATGGTCATGTAAGTTTGGGGCTTCCCTTGTGACTCAGCTGGTAAAGAATCCACTTGCAATTTGGGAGACCTAGGTTTGATCTCTGGATTGGGGAGGTCCCCTGGAGAAGGGAAAGGCTACCCACTCCAGTATTCTGGCCTGGAGAATTCCATGGAATGTATAGTCCATGTGGTCACAAAGAGTCAGACACAACTGAGGGATTTTCACTTACTTACTTACAATGTAAGTTTCCATGTTATTCTTTCCATACATCTCACCCTCTCCTCCCCTCTCCCCATGTCCATAAGTCACTACTCTGAGAGTCCTTTCCTATGTTGGGAGTCACAATCAACCTCATTTCCCTAGGGTGCCCTTCAATACTGTGCTGATCTCTGGACCTGCTGTGGAGCAGCTCATATTCTAATCTGGTCCTACTCCTGTGTGTTCTTGCCTCCATACATTTAAAGTAATTGTATATATGTTCTTATTGCCATTTTCTTAATTGTTTGGGGTTGCTTTTGTAGATCTTTTTTCTTCTGTTGTATTTCTTGACTATATAAGTCCCTTTAACATTTGTTGTAAAGCTGATTTGGCGGTACTGAATTCTGTTAACTTTTGCTTGTCTGAAAAGCTTTTTATTTTTCCATCAATTTTGAATGAGATCTTGCCGGGTACAGTAATCTTGGATGTAGACTTTTTCCCTTTCAGTACTTTAAATATATTCTGCCATTTCCTTCCAGCCTGCAGAGTTTCTGCTGAAAGATCAGCTGTTAAGCATATGCGGTTTCCCTTGTATGTTACTTGTTGCTTCTCCCTTGCTGCTTTTAATATTCTTTCTTTGTGTTTAGTCTTTGTTTGATTAGTATGTGTCTTGGCATGTTTCTCCTTGGGTTTATCCTGTATGGGACTCTTTGTGCCTCTTGAATTTGATTAACTATTTTTGTTTCCATGTTGGGGAAATTTTCAACTATAATCTCTTCAAAAATTTTCTCAAACCCTTTCTTTTTCTCTTCTTCTTCTGGGACCTCTATAATTTGAATGTTGATGCATTTGATATGGTCCCAGAGGTCTCTGAGACTGTCCTCAGCTCTTTTCATTCTTTTTACTTTATTCTGCTCTTCAGAAGTTATTTCCACCATTTTATCTTCCAGCTCACTGATTCATTCTTCTGTTTCAGATATTCTGCTATTGAGTCCTTCTAAAGTATTTTTAATTTCAGTAATTGTGTTGTTTGTCTCTGTATGCTTATTCTTTAATTCTTCTAGGTCTTTGTTAA